AACGCAAGCCCTCCCTGTTTAAAAAACATTTTGACATTTGAGCATTTTTTGGAAAAAGGACCAAATAATAAATTAATTCGATTCCACTTATAAAGCAGCCATAGCTTAAGAAATAATCCTCATGAAAAACAATCAAGAACCACCAAAAATTCCGTTTTTAATGTTAATATTGATAACTCAGCTATGTTAGATCAATATGAAGTTTTCGCAATTTTCGTTGAAATTTGGGGAATCGAGAAAAAGCCAAAAAAAATTCAAAAACGTATGGGCTCTTTTTTTGTTCTTGTCTCTCTAACGATTGTTTTTCTAACATCGTTTCTCTAACATCAACTTGTTTAATAATTTAAATCGATGTTAGAGAATATATTTCATCAATATATTGATGCACCGATATTAAAGATTATTTTTATACATCTAATATTTTAAATCAATATTAGAGATACCATAAATATTTCCCTACCATCGATATATTTAGTTTAAAAAATCGACTGATAACCTGGGACAATCGAATTGTTTGTCAGTGCCCTGTTGATTTTTTGCCAAATCCGTTCGCCGGCTCTATTTTTTTAGGTTTCTATATTTTTTTCCATTTTTCTATATTTTGATTTAAAAAGTCTTATCTTTTAAGATTTCTGATCTTCTAATCTGCTATGAAAAGTTCCACTGTGAACACGGGAAAAAATTTCTCCAACACATATACAAGCATTTTGCCTCAAAAAATTATGCGAAAATCATTTAGAGTCGTTTTTATAAGAACAAAGAAATTGCAAAAGAGTCAAAATCTCCTAAATGAACTTTTAATTAAATTAAAAAGCAGAAAGATGTTTTGTTTCCATTGTTTAAAAGCGCCTATACATTCTCACTGTCGATTTTTTTTTCGCACAAATTTTCCATGAAATAAAAACTTTCGTCACATGAATTAACCACTATGGTGCATATGAATTAACAACTGAAATTAACCACAAAAAGCAAAAATTACATAGTAATAACCACATATTGTGCAGGGTTTGTATTCCGAAAACACTGGGGCACTTTTAAATATCATTTGAAAAAATGTTTAATATATTTCATTGCCCGGCCAAATTGTCCGCTGAATAGAATAAAATTTTGTGTATGTAGGTCTGTATCATGTTTCAAAATGTAAGTGAGATCACCTACAATATTTTCCGTCGATTCAACGTGAATTTTATCTGCAGTTCTATAACAATTTTTGCAACGAGCAAATATAGCTAGTTGTTCCAGATTCCGCAAATGTAAGCGGATCCCACAAATGTAAACAGGTTCCGCAAAATTGTTATGTAAATTGTATTGAAACAAATAGAGCTTGCAAATTTTTTTAAATGGATAGTGCAAATGCAAGTGTTTTCCTCAGAAGTGTAATCTATAATGTATAGAACTCTTATTTGTTTGTGGATTTCTCAAGCTGTTCCGGGTTGACTATTTTTGAAGACTTTATAAGTGATACAGTGTTTTAGCTATTTTTTCGTGGAATCGAAAACGGCCAAAAAAGAGACAGATAGCAATGTAATGGATTTTGCAATAAATCTATTTTTAGCCTCTTGCGGAAGCTGGAGACAAATCGCAAAATACATTGTTTGGACTGGTAACGGTGTAAAAAAATTGCAAATATTGACTCAATTTTGTCCAAATTGTTCATTTTATAGCAATAATTTCCCAAGAACAAATTTGGACGTTTTGCAGTTGAATCTTGTTTTTCTAAGTAAAAACAATAAAATTGAAGTGGAAAGTTTAATCACTTTTTATTCAATGAAACAAACATATTTGAATATGATGACCAGTCTGAACAAAACACAATGTAAAACTGGATTCAGTCTAAACACGGTCAAATCATTTAAGTTGTACTGCTATAGATGCAGTATCATTACATGAACCAATATATATCAATGCAACCATCAGAGTCGCCCTTGAATTTTTTTGGCTTTTTAAAGATTTTTCTCGGTTTATTCTTTCGCTTGGTTCTGAGTTTTTGTGGCAAACGCTTCAAGTGTTCTTTTCATCATTTTCCAAGTGTTTGCCCATGAAGTTCCATCCAGTGCTATACTCAGGTGAACAGTGGTGTTTTTCGGGACTTTTGTTACTTGAGAAGTATGCCCCGGTTACTAGATTTACGATATCGGGTCCTATGCTGTTCAGGATTGGAGGCATTGGAGTGGTTGCTTGTTTGTTTCGTGTCGGTTCTGTAAAGCCTACTCTGATCCCTGCTGGTTTCGTCCTGATGTCAATCTTGAAAAGTGTCTCCATCTCATCCATCTTCTGTGCACTTGAAATGCACCCCAAGTCTCAATGCACACGACAATGTCAATCGAACTTCTTCATACTATTTGTCTACAATTTCCTCTCAAAAACTATATAAGTTGGTTTGAATTTTTGAAAAATTAAACCAATTTTTGCTTTGCCATGGAACATACACATCATATCGAAAGTAGCAAACAATGAAATTTTTTGAGTTTGAGTTTTTGTCTGAATAAGTACAAATAAACTCACTCTTTAATATTCAATCCTTTTTTCTCCTTTTGCCATAAATATTTAAATGAAAACTTCTCACTTTTTTAATATCAAGAATAAATACACTCTTCAGTTCCTTGAAAATGGGCTCCTTCAATTTTTCGCTTATAAAACTTCAAATTTTTGCTCCTTCAAAACTTCAATTTTTTGCTTATAACGTAGAAAACAATAACCATAATTTTTTACTTTTAGCATAGATATCAGAATAAGTGTTTTTCGATTTTAGATAACAATATATAAATTTGAATCAGTCGGCAAAACGGGGCGCGATTTTCAATCTTTTATTTTTGAGAATACAGGCCTCATAGCCGTATATAATAATTTGTGTATATTTCTTATACTGGTGTGTGAAATTCAGTAGCCTGCCCTTTTTGTCTTCTTTTGTACAAAGGAGGCAGCAATTTGTTGTTAGTCTGATTGCAAAGGAGGCAAAGAAAGATTTTCAGCTTGCTCTGATGGGATTCAGGTCCCTTCTGTTGTGATTTTGTCCAGTTGTTCCTTAACATGATGCAGTCATAGAATAGGACCCTTGTGCCTCAGTGCTTATTATTTAGTCGGCGAAATTCTCATCGGAAAAAGTTAAAGTGTTTGGCGCAAGAGTCACAAATCGGATACTCGAATGACTCCTAGATAACACTGAAGTCTAAAAGTATTTGGCGCGACGGTTATCGATTCGAGAATTGAATGGATTTTGAATAGCAAAACAGATTCATGCAATAATCTGATGTTCTGTTTTCAGTATGCCTTGAAAGTAGACATGAATCTCGTGTCGAGACATTTAGTAAGGTATTCAAAGTATAAAATCTGTGATTGATTGTCATTTATTTGAGTTTCAGGCGACTGGAAAATGGAAAATGTAAACTTCGGAAATGTATCCGAATGTCCGAATATCAACTTCTACAGAGGAATAGGTGAGTTCATTTATGACCAGAAGTTGTATTAGTTTTGAAGGCTTGGCATACGTAATTTACACTGCAATTTTTATACCGTTGAACCTATTTGTTCTCTCGTCTAAAATTATTTTGTTTTTGTGTTCACGGCAAAACACAGATATATAAAACAATACACACAAAAATTTTTAAATCATTCAATGTAAAAAACGTTTTGTATTACAATTTCATTGGGTGAAAAAATGTTATTTATTCAGTTTAATTGCTGAAAAAAAAAGCTAGCCAAAGAATCCCAAAAATGAAAAATGCTGTTCATGCTTTTTTCATACAACATTTTTCTTCTATGGAATAGTATGGATTTGTATAGTTAGAATTTTTTCCATAAATGAATATTGTAATGCTAGTATTTCTTTGTCAACTCGGGACTTGCTTTACCCCTTACGCTTTTGATGCTCGAGCTGTACTGTCTTCTTTGTGCTGGTATCTTATCAGATTTTCTACTCAACGGTTCAAGCAACGGCTAAAGTTTGCTTTAAAAATTTATACACCTTCCTGATCGGGTGTTCTCAAAAGTTAAATTTTTGAACCAATTGGTGAACCAGTTAATTGTTAGTGTCTTTTTTGTCTTTTCCATTACACTCAATTGCGTGCTCAGAAATTTTTCTAAGAGCGCTTTTTCGAAAAAATTTCGTCGACCTTTTTTTAGGTCGACCAATTTGATTTCCCAAGCTTTCCGAAAAGTTCTAAGGACCTTATTTTGGCAAAAATTTTGTGCGCTGCAGGCGTATTTTCCAAAAAACAGGACGTTTTTTCTGTGTGCGTTCTCCCCTCAATTTTAGTTTTATTGGCTTTAGAAAATTTTTTTGACTTCGGCCGGCCAAAAATGGATCTCGTAAAGCTACACGAAAGGGTAGCCTTTGGAAAAGTGTGGCAACCAGAATTGACGAGTGTGGCACGGAATTTAAGAGTTCAGAGAACATCCCAGACTAACGACTAATTAGTCATCATTAATTTCTTCTACTCAGGAACACAAGCGTTTCTCCCGAGTTCTTTTTGGAGCCTGACAGGAAATCCACGTTTATTGCGATGACTCTTTGATCTTTATCTGGCTAGGACATGGTTAAGGGTGAATTTATTAAGTGGGTTAAAAAAGAGATATTATTAAAAGATTCTTATGAAATTTTATCTTGCTTTCTTCGGTTGATTTTGATGTCTGAAAGTATGATATGACGCGGTGTACGTAATCATATTTCAAGCCTTTCATTGGAGGTCAACTTATTCAGAGTTCTTGGTCGCGGAAAGTCGTGACATATCTCGTTTGGCTGCGCTTAGGTCGCGCAGAATTTCTTTGTTTGCGCAATTTCGCGATGTACCCATTTAAAGTCGGGATGGTGACAACAAAAGGTCAAGGACCTGGACCCGGTAACACAAAATTACTAAATTCAATGGATTTTATATTGAGTTCGTTTGTGGGCAGCTAAATTCCATCACAAATATTAATTTTGAGCTAGCAATTGTGGTTAGATGGAACAATACGCATTCAATCACTTTCTCTTCTATTTGATAGAACCAAGTTTGGTAATTTTCGTTATTTACCGTCAGGAAAAAGTAAATAATCAGTACAAACGGTTTTTATGGTACGAATTATAGTTTAAGCTAATTTAGTATAAGTTCATAATCAAAACTAAGCCTGTTGTCGCTTGTGTTGCAAAAATATCCAGGACCAAATAATCAACAAATCGTGAGTAACATTTCATGCCTAAAGAATATTGCTTGCCTGGTCAAAAAATTGGGTTTTTTCACTAACAGACGTGATGGATGTAAGTTTTGGTGTATGATTTGGAAAATAGTAGCAACTTTTGAAGGATATAAATTAAATTTTCTCCAAACTGAGATATATTACTGGGTCGTGAATCTTTCAGCAGTTGAGATCATATTATATGCCCCCCCCCTCAAAATTAGTATATATTGGCGCCGAAGACGCCTTTAGAAAAATTTTAAGGTTCATCACCAAAAATGGATATTGGAAAATAGTACAAAGGGGGGGGGACTCTGAAGAATCCCTGAAGAGAAAGCATCCCCCCTAAATCCGCCCCTGATTATATATATTGTTAGTTACATAATGTTTCATTAAATATGAATGAATTATTCAAAAATAGAGTGCAGGATGGCGACTAGGGAGCAGGGGCACGGGGACTTGGCGGAGAGACAGGCGAAGCTGGACTCCAAGTACGACATAGAAGTGGAGCAGCAGGTGAGAGTGTGGATGGAGATGGTCACTGGGGAACCCATAGTGCCAGGTATGACGTCATATCACTCACCCACAGAGGTCAGAGTATAACAGCACAATAGACTGCTTCTGAAATCAATCCACCAAAAAAACATGAAAACATGAAAAAAATTTACATGAAGTTATGGAAAACCGAAACTAGCATGAAAACAAGAATAAGGGTTGCTGATAAGGGTTACTTCCGACCACAATAATAAAAAAAAACTTTTCTTAAACTTGTCTTTACATTTAATGATCAACCGCAATGAGATTACACTAGAATAATCTATCACAAGGAATTTTTATGGTCTGCTTCCGCAAAATTTTGAAATAATATGTATATAGGATAAGTAATTGATTATAAATCAAACAAACTAGAATTAAATTGCATTTTTTGTAATCGATTTTTATGAGTTACATGAATTAATATGGTTTTTAATCCATTCCATTTGATTACAATGGTTTCAATAAATCATATATTTATCCGCAAAAGACTGGGTTTCCATACAATTCTTTATAGAATCAAAACACAAACATTGCAACTGTTAAACTTAAGCTTTCAATTGGCTAAAACAAAAAGTTAGTAATTTTTATTGTTTTATACTTCACCCAAAACTTATAATAAGGTCTCACTGGCGATTTGAATGAGCTCGGAAAATAAATTTTATCGACATAAAATGAGAAAAAAAATTAAAAAGATTGACAAAATTTTTGAAAGGTCGACAAAATTTGCTCCCCTCACCTCGATAAAATCCTAGATCTGTTCTTGCCATTCTTACTTCCTACACTTATCACCACATCCCCCATACTTACCCCCTTACAAATTAACACCCCCTCCCATTCACATATTCCCCCACCCCCATACACAACTTTAAGCCCCTGGATGGAAACTTACGGCGCTGTCAACTGTTTGGGGGAGTGGGGTAAGTATGACAGCAAGTGATGGGGTGGGGTGGGGTGGGGGAGTCGCTAGGTGTGCGAAAGGTAAAAGGGGATACATTTGGCGTATGAAGATGTTCATTTTGGGCGTTCAAGTTGAGAAGAGGGTGTTAAAAGTGTGAGGATTAATGTTGGAATGTGAAATGGGTTTAGATAACAAGGAGGCTGTATGTAATAAAAAAGCTGCAAATTTTAAAGAAAATTTGGGAAAAATAATTACAGATTATAAAACATTTCAATCAATTATAATGAATTGTTAATGGTTTTAAAAGCAATGCATTATAATGGATCACAATCGATTGAGTGATCCTAAAGTGTAATATACAATCAAATATATAATTCTTCCAACTTCTTTCAAAAAAACAACCGGTGAAAATCAAATATAATCCATGGAACCTCAGAGCGGGTACAAATATACGAATCAAAATATACAAAAAACATTTAGTTCTAATGTTTAAAAGATAAAAAGCCATTTTTTAAAATTTTTTTTCTTTGACCAGAGATGCCACAGGACGTGTTGTTGGGTCCGGAGGCATTCCAGGCGGCCTTGAAGGACGGAATGTATCTGTGCCATCTGATGAATGCAATTGTGCCTGGCAGCTGCAAACCCAAGAAGAGCAAGATCGCCTTCATGCAGATGGAGAACATAGGTAAACACTCCCTAACCACAGGCAATCCCAGATCCATTCCTGAGTAGACATACATGCAATAGACATGTCATGAGCATTTAAGCCACGTGAATATTTTTGTCGTGATAAGTCGTTGTCCACTGTTTCTGTCTTAACGTTACAAATGTCCTTTATTTACGTTTGAAAGTTTCTTTTTTTTTAAATTGTAGACACAAATTTTCTGGGAGACAAAACCTCCAGACTAAAATTTTATTATTTTGAGTGCTGAAAAACCAAACTGATTCTAAAACTTAATTTTGAAATATGAGTGCAACTAGCTCGTTGCAAAGGAAGTATCTTTCAAGACTACGCTAATTTTTCCCATAATTCGAGCAGCTGGGCTAGGTGTTTTTCAGACAAACGTGTGGATATCTGCGACATCTTAGAACCCTTTGTGGTACCATTTCCATCAAACGTACTAATTGTTAAATGCGCATGTGTTTAATGGTTGATAAATTTTTCCCTCAGTTGTTATTTCATCTTCTCTGCTCTTTCTCTTTCCAGGCCAGTTCCTGACTGCGTGTGAGAAGTATGGGGTGAAGACTGTGGACATGTTCCAGACTGTGGATCTATATGATAACACCAACTTCGGAGCTGTCATCCAGACCATCCTAGCACTAGGTCACTACAATTATACACATTAATAAAGTCAGCCTGGCAGAAGAAGAAACTAACAATTTTCAAGGAGTTGTCAAATTGATTTCACCGACCACTAATTTGTTAAGAAAATGATTTATTCGCAAAAAATGCATTCAGCGAGAAAATATCAATTGCGGTTGAAAACAAATGAAAATCTTAATTAACATGCAACTATATCCCCCCCTCGGGTACCTAGTAACGAATCTCTCCCCCCTTTTTGCAAAAAGGGGGGATATGTTAAAAGAGATCCTTGAATTGAAAATAATGAATTGATTGAAATTTTCAAAAAGTGAATCCTATGCGCAGCGCTTCGGCTTTTTCTGTATTT